TGAGAGCTAAGAATGGTTTTTAGGAACATTTACAGTTGATTTGATAAAAGGGAACATTAACTTTGAATGCAAGTTAAGCAAAATGTTTCCTCACCCCAAAAGAATTCCATTCTTTTTATTAGTATTACAAAAAATGTACTGTTAGTATATTTTGAATTCATCAAAAATTTTATGGAAAGATGTTTTCTGTCATTATGCAAAAACTTACATAATAAATACCTTTGACTTTGCTACTTGGCAAATCCTAAAACATTTACTCTGGCCTTTTACAGAAAAACATTGCTGACCTCTGGTTTACACTCTACAAATTTGACCCAGAGATGCCTTTTGCATGTCCCTGGGCCCTCTCTATCCTGAGGAGGTTAAATATTATCTCACCCACTCTCAGCTATCTTTTCAAAGATCAGAGTCCTGTGAGAGGGGTCAATCCAAAGGTAGAATCTGGAAGGCAAAAGTAAACGTTAAAGAGATGGAGAAAGGGAACTTACCTGGTTAGCACTGTAGTTAGTGGCCATGATCTTGTGCTGTGTACACTTGTTGCCTGGCAACTGCAGAAGGCTGACCTCCCAACCAGCAGGGGCTGCCTTTCCCTTTTAATTATTCACTTCCTTGGCTCACACTGCCCTCATCCTTTCTCTCTGAAACTTAGATTCATTTTCATTTAGGAATGTGAGGGAGGGACTGACAGAGTAAATCTGAGACCGTTAGCTGAATAACAGCCTCTCTTTCTAGCCTAATTTATTCCTGCCAGGTTGTCTTTGACTGGGGTTTTAAACCACTTTAACAAATCATGTAACTTCAAGAGCTGTGTTCTTTGGGCAGCGTGGTGTAGCATACCACAGACTGTAGGGCCAGATACTGGGGTTTGAGTCATTCAGCATAAGAACACAGGAGCTATGTATGGCATTAAACAACTGGCTTCCCTTCGCTAAATTTCTGTTCACTCGTGTATTGTGGAGATAATAGAGCCTGCCTTTACAGGGTAAGTGAGATAAAGTGAATAAAGTGTCCAGACAATATCATAGCATCCTTTTATAAGGCCCTCTACTTCATTTCCTCAAGCAGGATAACAAAAGGACGATGTTTAAAAAGTGACTAGTTCAAATCTGTCCCCAGAAGGAAAAACTTGTCTTTGGTCCTTAAATGATTCTGTTCCCTCTCGATCACTCTCTGGAATTACGGAGCCTAAAAACACAGGTGCTTAGTGTTGTCTGGGATAAGATGGAATGAGGGGCTAGTGCGGGGAGATTGATCAGGGAGGATGAGAGAGAGTCATAAGAGTGGAAAGCACCAGGTTTGGAGAGTTCAGTGGTGGTGCCAGGACACAAGCCTAATATTTGTGGAACTAGGCAACCCTTTTGAGACTCATCTAAAATGGTATAGGCTGGGCG